CAGAGTTAGTGGCTTGTACAAATTAGACCAGGTACCAATTTAAGTACCCGGAGCGTGCTATGGTAACCGAGGCGAACGCTACTTCAAGCCTGTGGCATCGTAGACTTGGACACCTGTGCCGCGTCGCTTTGGAACACCTGCGCAAAGCTAAAGGTATTGAATATTCTTCTTTAGATAAAAACCATTCCATAGCCTGTACAGAAGGAAAACAGAGCAGAAAACCCTTCAAACCGATTGAATATAACAAAGGCACTAGAATGTTAGAAGTTGTACATTCAGATGTAAGTGGGCCTTTTGACGTAATATCTTTAGAGTCAAATAAGTATTTAATTATTTTTGTTGATGATTTTTCTAGGATGGTTTTTTCTTATTTTGTACGCTCTAAAGCGGATGTTAAGAAAAAATTTTTAGAATTTGATGCTTTTGTTGAGAGGAAAACTTCACATAAGATAAAAAACTTACGTACCGACAATGGGGGTGAGTATGTCAATGCTGAATTCGAAGCGTATTTGGCTTCTAAGGGTATTAAGCACCAGACTACTGTCCCGTATTGGCCACAATCCAACGGGGTTGCTGAGACGACGAATAGGTCCTTAGTGGAGAAGGCTAGGTGTATGTTAAAAGATAGTAGCTTGCCAAAGGCCTTCTGGGAAGAAGCGGTACGTACTGCTGCTTATTTGAAAAATAGACATAGAGCTTTAGGAAATCGTACTCCGTACGAGATGTGGTATAATAGAAAGTCAAATCTCTCTCATTTGCGGATATTTGGTTGTCGTGCATATGTTCATGTACCGTCTTGTGAGTTAGACTCTAAAGCAAAACTGTACATGTTCGTCGGCTATTGCGACGATAACAAATCGTGTAGATTTCGTGATCCCTCCAATATAAGAAAAACTATTAAAGAGCGGGATGTAGTATTTTTAGAAGATTGTTTCTCAAACGATAAGATAGGTAACGATTCAGTTCGTCAAAATATTGTTCTCCCTGCTGATAACAATAATTTACAGGAGCAAGGCAATTGATCCTGTAGCGAGTACAAGCACTGCTGCTACGCTACCACCTTTATCCGTGGTCTATCCTCTCCCTACAATTTCAACAGTACCGGTTGAGGAAGAAGAGACACCTGTGGAACCCGTTAAAAGGTACAATTTAAGAGAAAGAACGCCTGTAAATGGAGGACGAATACAATTCTTTGATGAGTAACTGTACCTGGACCTTAGTCGAAAACACAGGACAAAAAGTCATACCATGTAAATGGGTCTTCAAGTTAAAACTTAGTTACGTTAGTTGCAAAAGGTTTTCGTCAAAGCTATGGAATCGATTACCAGGAAACCTTCTCGCCGGTAGTTCGCTACTCGTCGCTAAGGCTTTTAATTGCACTAGCCACAGAACATAATTTAAAAATGCATCATTTAGATATTGACACAGCTTTTCTTCACGGAAAACTAGAAGAAAATGTTTTCATGACACAACCCCAAGGGTTTGTAGTTCAAGAAGAGAAGAGTAAGGTGTGTAAATTGCATAAATCTATTTATGGTCTCAAACAAGCTGCCAGAGCCTGGAATAAACGATTAGATGAGGTGCTCCGTGATTTAGGCTATAATAGATTAGAATCTGAGCCCTGCGTCTATATTAAAAAGAACTCTACTAATGTTGCTATCATAGCAATTTATGTTCATGATTTGGTTTTGATTTATAATAATGAAATCGAACTAAGTTTCTTAAAAAATGGCTTAAAGAATTTCTTCGGTATCAAGGATTTAAGTGAACTTAGTTATTGCCTCGGTCTGCATGTCATTAGAGAGAAGGGGACTAACGATGTGAAGGTAAACCAAAAACGTTACATATTAGAAACGTTAGACTGATTCAATATGTCAGAGTGCGAAACTGTTTCTACTCCTATTGACATTAGTGTTGACCTGCTTTCTCAGACAGAACCAGCTGTTGTTGAACCAGCAATGTTCCTTATCAAAACTTGATCGGTTGCCTGATGTTTTTGGCTATCAATACAAGCCCCGATATTTTATTTGCCGTAAGTTTCCATAGCCAGTTTAATAAGAACCCTATGCTTGCGCATTGGACTGCTGTTAAACGTGTCCAGCAATATCTAAAAGGTACGTTAGACTACGGTCTTACATTTAAAAGACTGGAAAGTATCTATATGCTTTCGTCGATGCTAACTGGGTCAACGGTGGTGACAGGAGATCGTATACTGGTTATATATTCAAACTAGCGAATGCACCGGTGTCGTGGGAATGCAAAAAGCAACCCACAGTTGCTTTGTCCTCAACAGAGGCTGAATGCATGGCGTTGTCCAATGCATCCAAAGAAGCGGTGTATTTACAGCGCCTTATAAGTGAAATTACAGGTGAGTGTTCGTCAGTAACTATTTTTAATGACAACCAAAGTGCGCAAAAGTTGGCACAAAATCCTGCTTATCATAGTAGAACCAAACACATCGACGTACGTTACCATTTTATTAGAGAGCTAGCAGACAACAATAAAATAGTGTTATCGCATTTGCCTACGGAAAAGATTTTGGCGGATGTTATGACCAAAGGTTTAGGTTGGTGCAAACACCAACGTTGCGTGTCTGACATAGGTTTAATATGATTTTTTGAACTGTGTACTCCATGTTTTTTTTTAACAAAAACTTTGTCACTGTCATTGAAAGTACAGTCAGGTTGAAATATAAGTATACCTGTCTTTGTACAGTCGTGGAACTCAATTAGTAGCCATGTCCGATTAAGGAGAGGATGTTGAAGTTTTTATTGTAATCGTACTGACTACAAACAGTTCAATGTATTTTCTTTTTTGTGACGTTTTTCGTTTCTGACGTAAAAATAAGATCGTCTGTTGTCCTATATTTTTTCATGTTTTCACCTTAAATACAAAATTTTAATACAACTATTTATTAATTTTCTACTACAACTATCACTTTTATAAATAATAAATTTAAACCCGATTCGCCGTGGTACTTATCTGTTCGATACTAGTGTATAATTTAAAAGCCGGGATGCAGAGGGAAAGCAGTAATCGCCCGCTGTAAAAATCTTAAAGTAATTTACTTTCGGTAGAGATTAGATATTATTTAGTGTAAGGTGTAAAGGTCAAATTTATGTGCGTCTCTCCTTTAGTATATTAGGTTAGAACATGAAAAAGGAGAATTTGCGTTTCCGAACATGTTTTCAGGTCGAATTATAGTATAATTAATATAATATTATATAAGACAATATCTGATCTTATCTCAAGATATATCATATCGTTTTCCAAAATTGAAATAAAAGAATTTTATATGAATACAATCAACATTTGACTTTGTATATTATTTACTATAATCATATCGTATATGAACAATAATATATTTTTGAATTTAGATTTAAGTGTTTCAACTTCTGATAATTTATTTGCATTACCTTTATACCTGAATAGTGCTATTTATTCCTAGTAGGTTACATTAGAATGATTTTGTACTTTTTTCTTCTGAAACCTATCACTATCTTAACCCGTCGAGTAGTATTCAACATTGAACAACTAGGTCGTACCGTAAGTACCGAAAGTATCGGGCAATTCCCGATTCCTAACATGTCCGGTTCCGGAATTAGCCGCCGCATTTGAAACTTGTCGAAACAAGTTTCATGACCGTTCTTACCATATGCGAAGGAGTCGCCTGACTGTGGTAACGCTAGTAGATTCAGTAGACTTCAGCAACGGACTATGGGCGTCACAATGCTCATTATTTACACAGTGTAGGTTTGCAGTCTTCGGTGGGCAACCGAAGGCGACCTAGCGACTTTTTTTTATTATACAAAGTGACGGGACAAATAAGTCGAATAACACGACTGCATGAAGTTCACAATGACTTCACGCATTAACTGTAACATACAATCTGGAAAATCTGGACGAACTCTTCCACTCTTCCTTACTGCTACTAATGTCAAACATTTGCTGTTGCAGGAAGCGGATTTTGTGTCGTTTATCCACAGCCAAATGGATCACCTTACACAGGCGAAAGCCAGCACGCCGTCTGAGGCAGGCTTCGGCATCAATGTGCAGCTGGCTAGTGATGACGACTTCGAGGAAATCATCAAGAATAAGTCGCCCACCTTCGTTATGTTCTACGCGTCTTGTAAATTTTACATGTCCTTCTAAGACCCAACAACATACAACGTGAAAAGCGCTAAACGCCCAATATAATTGTAATTAAACATAATTCAGGTACAAGTATGCCCTTTGTTTTGTATGAAAAGCGTACTTTTCCAGATAACCTTTAGTCAAATAGAATATATAGCACTAAATTTGAATGCTATACTTTCATTGGGCGTTTACGTGATCATAGGAATAGTATTGTCTGGGTATGAATCACTTTTTTTTCATAATATCAAATGACGGGATGGACAAGTCGTGCGCCTAATGGTAAGCTACACGCCGGTCCGAAACAGTTGCAGTGCCACTCAGAGCTTTAAATTGCAAAGATCTAAGGGGTACTGCCGCTGCGCACGTCACCCTGAGATATAAGTTGACAAGTCCCATGTACCTGTATGCATGCACCCTTACCCTTCTAAACCAGAACGCAGTAATGCTAACATTACTGCTTGGCGGCAGAAATAGGTAAGGTGGCAGTACTTCCCTGGACGAACTGTTTAAACCTAGAGTAAATGCGTCAATATGTTACCTTAAACCTTTTTTATGAGAAGGTCCTGGACTACATAACTTTCAAACAATAGTAAAGAATTCACAACTTCAAATTTTGGCTCAAGCTTTTAAAAAGGATTAAAATCGTCAATATAGCCAAACGTGACCTTGGGACCTGTAAAGAGCAGTTGGTTTGTTTGAAAAAACAAATAAACGCGATTTAAATCCGAAAAAGAGTTTCAATTCCTATTATATAATATGTGACGATAGCGAAAACCTAAGAACTGGATAGGATAAAAATTATTTTTATTTATGTCCATTAAATGATCGGCATTTTGTCATACAAAATGTAAAAAGATACTTACAAGGTGCGTAGAACATAATGATAGCGTGTTTAACTTTGCGCAGTGCGTTTCGGAAGTTCGAGGTGTCGAGGTGGCGCACGGCCGACTCCTCCTCAGACCAAGGCTTCTCCGGTGGCGGCGGTGGAGGCGGTTCTTGCGGGTTCTGTAATGACACATGACCAAATCCACAAGTAACGAAATTTCTATAGGTTTGAGTCGATATTTTGGACTCTTAGCTATTGTTTCTCACCTTAATGAAATTGACAATTTGATCCTCGTGTCTGGCGTGACCGGCATCGTACTGATATTGTCCTTTGTGAAAGTATTTGAGAGTAGGATAACCGCGCACTGCAAACCGTGCAACCAAATCCTGCTGCTTAGTTGCGTCTACAGCCGCGAGGATGCCGTTCACCTTAAGAGCACAATTATTATTACAATTAATTTTCTTTGTCTAGTTAACCAAGACTCTCGAGTGATGAGTGTGTTTAATGCCAGCAGCATTTATAGATTATATAATCTAAACATCATCATCATCACTTCGTCGTCAACCCGCTATTAGACGTGGACTTCCCCTAAAAAAAAAGGGTTCGGTAAGCCATTCCAATGCGGGACTTCACACCATTTTCCAAGGATTATGAACCTTCTTTGACGTGCAGGTTACATATTCGATCACCGTTAACTATAGTTAACTAGCACCCTCACCCACATTGCAATTATTTATATTAAGCATTCTCATAAGTGCGTATCATAGATATTAAAATTAATTATATAAAAAGGCGAACTTCCTGAAATGCAGATTGCGCTGCAGTACCAAGAGAGTTCTGAAGAAGATTGTTGACAGGTGTGGGGGTCCCGTCCAAAAATCTTGGATGGAACTAACGACTCCTGCGAGTATCGGGACAGCAGAAGTTGGTAAAATTTGATAAAATGTTATTCATTTCGTATGAACATTTTCTTTATTAAATTTAACCAACTTCTGCTGTCTCATTTTTTTCTTCCGACACAATGAAGTCATATTTATAAGAAACTGAGTCTATGTTCGTTAAACAAATTAGTCAATTTTATTCATTTTGTATGAAAAAATATTTTTCGATATTTTTTAGAGATTCGAACCGTCGAAGTCGCAATTGGGAAGCAACCATTTTCACACTTTGCTACCACCGCGTTACGGAAATATCACTGACGCCATATCGTCGTCTTACTTTCTCAAACTCGTATCTTAAACATTGACCTATAGTTCGTTTCAATCCATTATGAACAAAAAGTAAACAAACAAGTCACTGACCCGACCATAGACGATTTAGTGATGGCCAATTGTAACGCCAACTACAAATCGATTAATTAATTGAATAAATCGATTTGTTCAATTGAGTCATACTAGCGGTTTTCCTTACATATCAAAGCATATTTAAAATTTCAATTTAAATCCTCCTTCAAATCCTTACACTTAGATACTCGTTCGATTGCGATTGAAATGGTCGATTTAACAATCGATTACTAAACTTAATTGATTGAACCGAATGTTTTTTTTTCGAACAGCACTATGCAACCATAGGCATGCCATTCAAGTATAAATGAATAATAACCTCACTTTTGGACTACCATTTTTCAAATAAGATTTTACGATGCTATTCAAATGAATATTGTTGGAAAAAGTGATGATATATCAAGTCGCAATCTACGTGAAAGTGTTACATATTCGATTTATTGAGTGATTGCTTTAGAATTTTAACCAAACAGGTTTGTTTACTTTTTGTTCAAAATGGATTGAAACAGAGTATACCAACAAATGGACATCGGGTTCGCGCTAAAAACTGTCCACACCTTAGAGGATGGAAAAAAAATAAAAGAAATGAACGTGCGGAATGAACGTGCATACCTAAACAAAAATTGAACTAACAAATGGCGGATTTCTTTAGTGTCGTACCATAATCTATCGATAAGTCATTATCGATATGCAATCATTTAATTAAAGTAGATCAATATTCCATTTGGAATATTTTAATTTATATGGGAATATCCAGGAATGTCACATGAAATCTTGAATTTATTGTTTTGCGTTTACAAATACTCAAATATTACGAAAAGTGAATTAGCACAGAAAAAAATTAATATTTCGTAATTTGAGAGTACATAAAAGAGAAAACTTTGAAATATAAATTAACATTTCCAACCTCAAGATTCATATTGTCATAGAGAAGTTTTTAAACAGATTCCAAATAGTGTAAGCTTTTTCGTATTCATGCATTGGTATAGAATTAATATCAGTGACTGATTTAAGTGAATCTTTAATACTTCCATTTAATTTTGGAAATAAATTAAAGTAGTAATATTATCAATAATAATATTATTATCATACGTTTATTTGCTTAGAACATGGTATAACAGGTGATATAATAAGAGACAGTGGTAGTATAAACATGTTTCGTATATATTAAATGGCATGGAAATGTCAGATTATACAATGTCAATTGGCTAGTATTGGCCGAGCACCTTTGATTTTTGCAGAAAAATCGAGTGAGACAAGTAGTCACGAGCGACTGCGAGTGTGCAAGCCACGTCAAACGAGCTCTATACACGTTAGCGCTTGCCTTCACTCGGTCAGCTAGGCGAGTGACACCGAACGATAGCAAGGCACTGCAAAGCAAATAGGCTGTCTATACGTTGGTTTTGGCCTTCACCCGGCAACGTTAGACCAATATGGTCTTTGTACTGCTCACTTTGTAAAATAACAATTTTTAGTAGTTAGAAATTGTCAGTGGGAAAAAATCAGAAACGAGTGGATAATTTTGTTTTCAGGAACTGAAAATGCCTAGTAAATGAGTCTTGTTTAATCTAAATTAAATATAAAATTATTTACCAATAAACCTAATGATGGAATTGCATTATCATGTAATCTAGTTACATTCAGTTATGTTAAAATTTGACTCTTCAAAATGAAGCGAATAAAATTGATGATTGTCTTTGATTCAATGTTTATATTCGGCAAATTATATACGGCGCGGCGGTATGATTTCCAACCATTCTTTTTTCTTTTTTTATTTGTAGGTAAACTTGAAATAGTAAAAATAATAATAATAAAAACCTCGTAGTGAATTATTTTAATAACAGAATATTAATAATATGTACGCTTCCAAGAACAACACTATATCACTATAATTGTTAACAACAATCATCAAGATATACAAACAAACAGAGAATCTCAAGAAACCAAAGCAAAATTTGGCAAGATATATATTATGAATAAACTACTTAAATATGTCTAATTAAAAATAACACGTGCCTGTACAATGGTTACATTCGGTCGATCTTAGCTTTTTCAAATGCCACATCCCGTAATGCTGTAGCGACGAATTTTTATTAATACTTAATTGTTCTCACTGTCAAAATTTTTGTCCATTTTATTACAATACATGAGAATAATTCAATAAAACACTTGGAAAAACATTTGTTTTGACATTTGATGTACCTCCCTTTGACAACCGTATCATGTACCTCATGTACTGCGAAATTGACACGGTTGGCATTTAAGATGACGTTACGTATTTTCGATTCCCGTGTTTGACACAGACCAATGTAATGCTATCTGTTTGTCTTAAGACGGCAAGAGTTAAAGATATGTTTTCAACGTCGAAATGCATCATATACATATAACGTCTGATTTATATATGTAAACATAACATGTCCTTTAGTTTCCATAGTCTAAGGTCTGCACTTATCAAAAATTCCGCACCTATCAAAAATTCCGCGTCTAAAAAGTGTCAATTGCGCAACTGTCTTCGTTTGTTCGACTGACAGCGCGGTTGTCAATCATGCAATACTATATAATAACGAGCTCTGTACCCTACCTACGGTGGGGTCGGGCTCGGCCTGCGGCGCGTGGTCGGTTTCAGTTTACGGGGTGTGCTCATGCTCTTCGTTGGCACAGCAGTTAGTACTATGGGCGCTTGATGAGGAGATCGATTCCCGATTTATGCCAATTTAAGAAACGAACATTTCTAAGTTGGTTTTGGTCTGAGTATTCTGGGTTATCGTTGATTTGGTATTCATAGTACCTACATAGTACAGGAAATTCGGCAGTAGTTTGGCGTTTTTTTCCCCCTAAATACTTCTCTTTGGCATAGCTTTCAAGAAAATTTAATCTAACATAGAGACAGTTGAGATACAACAACGCTATAATAGGTATCTCATTTCCACTACATCGGGAAGCATGTTTTACATTTTTACAATTGTGAGATCTTGTACTCGTAATCTATTACGTCTCCGATTATCTCCTTTTGATGGCGTGCGGACGCTTCGGGCTTCACCCTCCGCGGACCTCGGCCTCCGGCCTCGGTACTTATGGCTTTGTTTAAAAAAATTGAAATAGCTCTTTAATTGCGGCCATATTTAAAAATTGCAAAAATAGATTTTGACTACTAATTATTATCAAACAATCTTAGAAATCTTTTCGTGCCAATTTTCAGTCCGAGCAAAGCAAATTTTTTCAATAGCCCGTTGCATAAAAAATTACTGCTATATCGAAAAACTGCAGAAACAAAATTTTTATTCCAAGTTGTGATTGAAGCCATGCCATTTTTAGTCGAATTAGAAGAAATTTTTATCTACCGCCAAAAAGTTTGTATGGCAGCCATTTGAAATATAAATTTTGACCGCTAATTATTATTAGACACTCATAGAGACCCCGACATGTTCACTTTCAATCGAATTAGAGCAAATTTTTATCTGGCGTTAAGAAAGTTTGTATGGCAGCCATATCGAAAAAAGGCGAAAAATTAAATTAAAAATTTCGACCGCAAATTATTATCAAATACCTATAGAGATCACCACATATCGATTTTCAGTTGAATTAGTGCTAATTTTTATTAGTTGTTGAATGGCGGCCATATTAAAAAATGGCGTAAAACCATTTTTGATCACAAATTATTATCAAGTACTCCTACAAACCCCCACATGCCAATTTTCAAAGGGAGCAGAGCATTATTTTTCTGCCGCCAACGAACGCTTCTATAGCGGCCATATTTGAAAATGGCGAAAAAACCAATTTTACCACAAATTATTATCCGGCACTTCTAGAGGCCATGACAACCTAATCAGAGCAAGTCCGTTTCGGCAGCCACTTTTGACGAAAAACGGCTCATATGACAGCCATATTAAAAAATAGCAAAAAGAAACTTTTGACCCCAAATTATGGTCAAGGATTCCTAAAGACCCCCGCATACCAATTCACAGCCGGAACGAAGCAAGTTTTTCTTCGGCCGCCATTTTGAATTCGCCATCTTGTTTTCTTTTAACCCAGGCAGTTGACCACTATTAAGCTCTATGACATTCCTTCGAGCGCCTCCTACCTATCTCTAATAGTTTCCGTGATAGGAGACTTTGAAATTTGTATGGCGGCCATCTTATTTATTTGAATTTCGAACATTTTTTACTTCCGGCGAAAATTGACTTTGAATTGTGTACCTCATAAAAGTGCACAAATATTCCCTCCATATATTATAGCTTTTGCAGGCCGTTAATCACTCTTTCATATTTTCCACATTTAGGTCTTCTCATATTTGATTCTTTGCTTTGGAATCTATCCGCGTACAACGTTGTAAATATCTTTTTTTCACCATATCGGGAAGAATGCGTTCTATTTCTATCAGTGAGTAAGAACGTGTAGCTTTATATGTATAATAATAACTTGTAAAAATTACTGTAGTAAATAAAGTGTAAAAACAAGATTTTGTATGATATTTTCACTAAACAAATATATTGTGTTATCATTTAAAATAGTTATTTTGTACAGTTGTATAGTATTTAATTTAATTTATATATGAATGAATCGTAAATATAAATTACAAAAGCAAACAAAATAATCAAATAGCTAACTGTCCTTTTTCTACACATTGCATGCGCAAAAGATGGAAAGAGACCCATTACGTCAAGATCAAGAAGCTTATATCATTGACTTACAAATAAATGGACGTCGGGTCCGCGCTAAAAAGTGTCCGAACTTATAGGGCGTTAAAATCGTATACAGAGCGTGAATCACGCTTTAGTCTTCGTTTGTTCCACTGTCAGCGCACTTGTCAATGATGTCGTATTGTGTAGTAAAACCTTGTAAAAATTACTCATCTAAAGGAAAAATAAAGGTGGTATATCATATTTTCAGAAAATACTACATTGTGTTATCATAGTTATCATTCAAAAGTGTTATTTTATACACTAGTATATAGTAAATTAATATATAGCAAATTTACTTTTCTAAACGGTTCTGCTCTTGATATTCTATTGTAAGACAATCACCTGGTTTGAAACTAGGGAACTCTCTGTACATATTCCCCATGAGTATCAGAGCTACAGAATCCCAGAGCAGAACCAATTTACAAAAGTTCATTTCCCAAATTGGTTCTACTGGGAATCGAACCTGGGATCAAGAACGATGGAATTTATTCCGGGGCATAACTCAGAACACCCAGGCCAAATAAACTTTCGAAAAGTTCACATTTAGTTATATAGTTTATTGAGCTGATTTGTTAAGGTTTTTAGAAAAATTCTCGAATAACTCGAGAAATCGGTTACGAGAATTCACGGAACTCAAGAAAAAAAGTCAGACACCCTAACTCGTAATAAATGGCATAGTATAAAATTCAACATTTACGTATAAAATTTATTCATAAATAATAAAGGCTACTCCATTATACCTGTGTTCAAGTAGTTTTCACTAGAAGCTACATATGATGCATTTTGGTAAGTTTCCAGTAGAAGCTGAATATGGTATTTTTTTGCGCCTTTCAATTGTTGCAAGCAAAATTAGGCAGTACTGCAATGACATTACAATTTAAATTCAACGTTTTAGCTTTTTCATATTCCTTTACATGTCACTACGTAAATAGGTTGACTTGGGACATTTTTTTCGTGGTTTTTGTATTAGACCCGTCGTCCATTTATTTGTACGTCAATGGCTTATATAAACTTCTTTGTCATTTTCAATTGTTCGAACCACAAGCGATTGAAATATTTAGAACAAAGAAACTATAGTCGCTTTAATTTTAATCTTATTTTTAAAATGATTTTTTGTTAAACGTTAGAAATAACTAACAAAATATAGTTGTACTCGTTTTACGGCTTGGAATTACTGTCAGAAATCAGGAAATACATTTGCCCGAAATAACGTTAGCTCGAATTCTCATAATGTGAAATGTATTTTTTTTTTAGGAATATTATAAAACAAAAACTAATTTAGTCTTTGTGAAAAGCATCAAGATTACTTGAAAGTGTTAACGGTTTTATTACAAAGCGGTTTTCGGAATTACGGATATTTGAGTTTACATTTAGTTGGAATGTCGGTATATTTCTTATAGTATACGCTAACGTAATATTTGTATTTATGTATCTGCCCAACTCTTTATTATTTCTTTAAGTGAATTTGTACAAAATTCGACATAATAATATATATAAAAATTAATTAATATTTACAATAAAGGCTGCTTCATTACTCTTGTGTTCAAGTAATTTTCAGTCGAAGCTAAATATGGTGCATTTTGTTAATTTTCCAGTAAAAGCTGAATATGGTGTTTTTGGGCCCTTAAATTGTTGCAAGCAAAATCAGGCAGTACTGCAACAACGTTACAATTTAAATTAAATGTTTTGTTTTTTTTATATTTCGTTACATGTCAGTTTGTACACGTTAACTTCAGACATTTTTTTCGTGGTTTTTGTATAAGACCCGACGTCCATTTGTTGGTACGTCAACCATCTTAAAGCACCAAGTTACAGAAATGCAAAAAATGGATTGCATATACAAATTTTGCAGGCTGATTTCACATCACTTTTCCTTCATATTTACACACAAGATTTACTTATTCTTAAGGTAATGCATGCATGATAAGAAATATAAATTAAATAGAAAGTTTTGCCATCTCCTGAATAATCACTCTTTATAAGATACGAGTTTGATGAAGGTAAGGCATTAATATGTGTACCTACTAAAATGTAATACCTTTTCAGATTTTATCCTGGCAGCAGCGTTCTCAAACTCTGGTTTTATCTTTTTACAATGTCCACACCAAGGGGCATAGAATACTACAAGCGCGTTCTCAGCTTGTGATAGTATATTGTCGAAGTTTTCCCCTAAAAAATAAAACACAGCACATTAAACGTACAGGAAACAAAAATGACTGTCCATAACTGTGATGACATAATAGATTGTTTTTCTCATAATGTCTTTTTAATAATAAACCAACTAACTTCGTGACATAGAAAAACAAATAACAATTTGTATAAATGACGAAAAAACCAGTTCGAAATAAACAGTGTTATTATGCAGCATTAGGAAAACAAATGTGAAATCCCCAAATTACAATGGCGAAAAAAAAAGAAACCAAGAAGCCATACAATTATCATCGATACCTGTTTTAGATAACAAAGCACGGAAACTTTTACCGTATGACGACAAGCGCATAATGGATAAAAAAATAGGTGTACGAAAAATTATTCCTTAATGGTAATAAAATATCAAAAACTATTATGTAAAATCGTTTAAAAACCAATGGATGGAATGACAGCGGAAAGACAATGTCTAGGTGAAAAGAAACAATAGAAACTCTCGAGAATTTCTTGCTTGTCGTTGGCTGAAACGTTGATCGCAAGGTGTCAAAAAAAAGGAGAGCTCAAAAAACTCTTCTATTCCCTCATGTATGGAACGGTCCAAACTGGACTGACGTCAAATGTCGCGCTTGAAACCATATACAGTCGTAACACAAAACTTGGTGGAATTGAGAAAACACGATTTCAAAGTTCAAACAAAATACTCAATGGATCTTATTGCGAATAATGTGATGACTTTTAATCATACATAATATTTAGTTATCTATTTGTAAACGAAAATATAAATTTATTAGTTTCATTAACTTTCAAATCGTGTTTCTCAATTCCACAATTTTGAGTGACGACACAGTATTTGGATGGAGCGGTCCCCAGCGGAACGGCGATTGGATAAATCGACCCCTCCTACGTAAAGTATCGTATGTCGAAATTGCCAAGGTTACAGGGGAGCGTTTTAAAGTTTTAAATTCACTGAAGTGGCATAACACGTTTTATTACAGTTTTATTCGGCAAAACTCGTTAGTTTAAAACTCGTTTCCGAATAAAACTGAGAAGTGCAAAATTCATTCGCCATTCATCAAAATGTTATGCTCATTTCACTGTATTCAGAACTTTAAAACGCTCCCCTGTAAAATTGGCAATTTCGACATACGATACTTTACGTAGGAGGGGACCAAATATTTAAGAAGTAAAATTGTCATTTTACTAGAGTAGGTTTTCTTAAATCTCCATAGTGTGTGCGAGTCATGCACTGCTTTACACCATTTTCCACGACACATTGATGGGATATTTAAGATTGTTGTCCTGTAGTGTTCTCAGTAATCGAAGTCTATTATAAATTTATGTTTTCTTGTCCTATTAACATACCTGTGAGGTGTACGACATCCGTGTCATCAGACCAACCTTCGTCAACAGGTTCTTTCTTCTGATGCACGTGAGCGTTCGGGTTTCGCATGAAATCCACAATGGCTTGTTTCCTATTGTCTCCATTGTAAGGGAACTTGAATTGCCCTTTTCTGTCAAAAATTGAAATATCGCTTATTAACACGGGAGGACTTGGGCTGCGCGTGTACAGTGCGGGTTGGGACTTTAGTACATATCTTTAAATTGCTTTGCAGGTGTGTGAAGGTTGTTTTCACGATGTATTCCTTCCCCAAAAAACTCAATGCTGAAAAACTCAGAGGTGCAAGCCCGGATTCTAACTCACGCCCTCTGAGATGAGGTAGGTCAAACCATTAAGCCACCACGGCTTGTTATTGATAATTAATATATGATTATTGATATATATATTTAAAATACTCTAATATAAAAATTGTATACTTACTCATAGTATAACAATGTTGGAAATCCAGTTATATTGTACGTTTGCCTAATTTTGGAGTTGCCTGGCTTTGCTACGTCTATTGCAGCAAGAAATGCTTCGCCCTAAAAGTTTATAATGCATCCTGCTTAAAATGTATTGCATAAAAATGCAAAATTTTTATTTTTTCAGAGCTTTCTACCTGACACATTTTTTATTCCTAAGGGTAAGGCCAAACAAGCGTAATTTTGTGAATGCAGCGTAAATTACGCAACTCAAATAACGCGACTCACAAAATTACGCTGGTCTGACCTCACCCATAAAGCTAAAATTATAACATTTAGCGTTTTACCTTGAGTTCTGCCGCGGCTGCAACATATTCTGGCTTCAAAGATTTGCAATAGCCGCACCAAGGCGCGTAGAACATTATTATGGCTCTCTTTTGCGCAGTTGCACATTTCTTCAAGAATTTAATCAACGCCTAAATAAAACAAAAATATAATTAAGTCGAAAGTACATAATATGTACATTGGGTTTAACAAATCGGGCTTTAAACTTATAAGTAATGTACCTCGCATTATAATTAGACGATAGCAGGAATCGCATTGCTTTACAATTTAATTGCAGATTTAGAACAACTCTTATTGCAGTGTAATTGGTATGTCAAAAAGACGCAATATCATTTGATTATAAAATCGTGATAAAAATCTCTACAGGGGTTCCAGTCTCGTAACTTAATAAGCGAGCAAGCAGACTGGTAGGTAAGAGCAACAAGTACAAATCCATATGTTATTTTATATTATCCTAAATTGTTATAATGTTACAAATATACATTCACAACCATACGCAAAATAGGCGCCTTGACTTCGAGTTGCGGACTCCAGCCCTTTACACCAAGTACCAAGTATACATTCACATGTCGCTGTTTTCTTAAAGCACTACATAGTGTAAACATATTATACATAATATACTTTTAGTATATTGCCTCGGTGGCCGAACGGTTACCACGCCGGACTGCCACGCAGAGGTCCCAGGTTCGATTCCCGGGCCGGGAGAAATATTTGTATGACCTACATTTATTTCTCTCGTGAGTTTGGGTGTAATTTGTGGTTGTGTATGTGTGTGTCCATGGCACCCGCAACACAGGGTTTCCCTAGTGCGGGGCTATGTTGAGTGTGTGCGTTATTATTAAAAAAAAGTATGTCTGAGTTCCTGTAAAATGTTTTCTTTTATACAGTATCAAGTGACGGGACGAACAAGTCGTGTGTCTGATGGTAAGCTACTGGTAAGCCTGTACATAACAGTTGCAGTACCACTCAGAGCTTTAAATAGTAGAAAGATCTGAGTGACACTGCCACTGCACCAGTCACCCTGAGGCATAAGTTGACAAGTCCCATGTGCCTATAATTTCACTATATATATGTTTATGTTAGTTATTTTATGCAATTCAAAAATTCGCATTTACCGCATTTCAGATTGTATATAAAATATACACAAACATATTTTACAAGGACCTTATATTTCATTTTATGTATTTGATATAAGTATAAATTACGTCTCGTAATTGCGCTATGCAGCATTAACACAAGGTTATGCATGTTATAGTACCTACCTACCTCCTTACTAAGCAGCCATGTTGAAAAATCTAATGATAACAAAACATAATTTGTTTTAAATACTTTTCATAAATAAAAAAGGAACGTTATAGGAGATAATCAATCACAAATCATCGTTAATAATAACAATAAAAATTAAGATATTCCATGTATGTATTATGAAAAGTAACAATATTCACAATGGGTCACTACACCAAAGTAAAAGTAAATGGTTAGTGACTGCATGGCATTCTTCTTTTCCTTATCATATCGATGGCTGTAAAGCTTGCCATCATGGTGAAAGAATTTACCAATTGCCGTAAGGCACTCGCCAAGTGAAGCCCAAAGTGCAACAGATGTACAGGAAAGGAATGGTAGGTTGTGCAGGGAGGGTACTTACATGCATAGCTACTGCATCGCAACTGAATCGCTGCAGACGTCGCCGTGCGTAACCACTCAATTAATACGTAGTTTAAACACTCTTGCTCCAGATATTGCTTAGTAATACAGATATATTTAATTTTTCAATACAAAAAGTAAGGCTACAAAGAAAGTCAAAACATTCTAATTTAATAGGCACTTACTTCTCCATCCTGCAAGTGATAGACATCCACAGCATTAAGGTCTTCCTCCCATGGCAGGTCTCCCATGGGGTCTCTTAAAAAGTTTGTCATAGAGTTGACAGTACTGCTTCTATCATAATCTTTATGGAACTCTCCATCCTTATAGTGCTTAATCAAATATGATTTCTGAGGATCAATTTTCAGCTTTTTGCATAGCTTTCTGGCTTCACTGAAAATTAAATTTATTTATAACTAGAAGAATAATGAGTCAAAAAATGCGTAAATTTTTCGAAATTTACTAATAATCATTCTTGGAACATGGAACAACAAAATTTCTTTGTGTCAGAAGATGTGATAAGGTTGAAAAAGACATCACTAGAATTAAAGATTTCTGCTTTAATTGGTTGAGTATGATTCAAAGATCAGGGCTTGAGTATAATTCAAAGCACTAGAAATCATACTCAAGTCCTTGTCATTAGGGTTGTATTTCCAGTGCTTGAAATCATACTCAAGTCTGCTCAAATTCTGACTTGAGCATTGAGTAGAGTTCTAGAATACGCCCCTTAGTCTGCTGAGCATATATATACCTTACAAATATATTTTTGTTTGATACTCAACTCATCAGACCTTAACGCACACAGAACTGTCAATAGTTATGTGTATGTTGTTCACTACAACAGGTACTCAAGCAAGTATTGTCAAAATGTATAACAACTATAATGATTTGTTAACATAAGTAGAAAAATAAAAACGAACAATGTTAAATATTGTAACCCTTGTGAGAACATGGAGACCGTACTGAGCAACCAAACCTGTCACAATGCGACCTCTTTCACAATCATCCCAACTTTTTATCACCCTTTTCTCTGCTTCCTGACCACATACTTTTGAAATTTTGAATTGCTCTCTACATCTTTTGCCACATCATTATCACTTTGCGACATTCCATCGTCACTCTCTACTAAATGTCTGAAGTGAATACTCCTTCTCATCTTTACCTCAATTCTGATCAGTTTTACCAGTTTTCAATTCATCATAAAATCATATAACCTATGTAATATTATTAAAATCAAGTAACCTAACCAATATTTGTAGAAAATACGGCCCTTTTGGGGTAAGTTCTTTTTAAATTTTGATGATGTTTTGTAAGCAATTTAAGAGGGAGTGTTTTGATATCATTGTACCTGTGTGTTATACTGATATTTTTATTGGTAAAGCCTTTCTTTTCACCTTGTTTACCTTTTCTTCTGCCTCATTATGCAATAAATTTGTGAGGACAGAGTCACCTATTTTATTGCTTGTGACAAACCTGTACTATAGATCACCAAGCACTCTAGTGTCCTAGAGCTACACAGTACCTATCTCTAACACACATCTGTGTTGTCATGCACTACATTAAAAAACTTAAATTAAAAAAACAGCAAAATCATAGGGAAACTGTGCCTTTACGATGCATGACGGGTTAAATGAAAACAAATCCCGTTGAGAAATCAAAGCTGTTGTTCTGTTGTTTGAAACTATCTTAATGCTAGAAATAATGTACAAACATATTGCTGTTGGGACAATGCAAAGTAGAGTTCACCTGTTGCTGCAGTCTATTATGGCAAGAGTGGCTTGGCCCTTCATGGCTTCGGCTACCTCCCGCACTACATCGGACACCGTCTGCGCAGCCTTCGGCTGGTTCACAAACAGGATCAATACATTCGTTTTCGATTTCAACAATTTTTTATAATCCTTCATAACAACTATATCGTTCACTACCATTGTCTTCTGCTTCCTGGCTTGTAAAGATACTTGTGCAAATAATAATACTAAAAATAATGTAACCTGAATCTGAAACATTTATTGTAAATTTAATTATTTATAAAAAAAATACGACACCGGCACGTTATATTATTCTTACTACCGAAAACTGTAGACGCATGGTTAACCGTAGCTCTATTTATTTCAAATAACGATGAAAACACTGTTTTATACATAAAGTCTAAAACTTTAAAATATTATAGTTAGCTATTTAGTAAATATCTGAAAACAAATTTCTAGTCCCAAACTCCCAACTTCCGACAGAAAAATATAATGTAATGTTTTCGAGTTGTAAAAATTTTTGTTTCTATTTTCGTCAAAAAAGGACAGGCTAAGATCAAACAGTATACCGCCTAGTCTTCAGTCCTCACTTAATTCTTTACCAAATCCTATTTCTTTTGTCTTATTAGTTTTTAATGTCATCTCATCTGGTACACGTATATAATAAAATTATTTGCTACATTGTATTTTTTCAAAATATTTCGGGTCGTATTCCAGAATTCTACTCAATGCTCAAGTCAGGACTTGAGTATGATTTCTAGCATTGGCAACATTGGCAAGGACTCGAATAAGATTTCTAGTGCTTTAAATCACACTCAACTCCTGACTTGAACATTGAGTAGAGTTCTGTACGACGAATACGAGCCCTTTAACTTCTACATTTAAAGTAAAATCCGATAATGAGTAGTAAAAATTCGTCACTGTATTATCGTTAAGAAAACGGCAGCACCATATAATTTACACTACTTGTCTCAGGGGGTCTACTCTCGTTCTCCGTCCGGCATTCGCCCGAATCGTCGTCCGAAACTGTCCTATAAGTAATACTCGACCAAATTAAAAGACAATGTCAAGTGTGAGGCTTTGTTCGCATCATGCGTCTTTTAATTTGGTCGAGTTTTACTTCTTCGACTGTAACAAGGTACTTTTTTGTAATTGTTTCGGACGGATGTCGGACACGGAATGAAAGCACAGGGCCTGATTACATAACAATAGGCAGATGGAGTATAGACAACAAACGATGTAATGGTACAGATACATATCCTCGAAACTAGTATGCTCATGTGCTATTTTTGAGTAAATGCTACCTAGTAGCAAGTGTAAACGTCCTTGGCTAGAAATTAGCATGCTCGGAAATAGAACGTCTATTGGTTTTTCATAACATAATTTATCATTTTCATAAAATCAAATATACTGTAACGTTAGTGTAAGAATGTTAATCTCTCTTTAAATCTTTGGGTTTACAGAAATATGCCCTTCAAAAGTATTAAAAGTAAAGGCCGGCGCCGGAATAGTAATAATACTATTATGTAGGTGGGAAAATACCTATTAAATTGTTTCATCCCGTTTGTCGTTTTATAATGTTAGTATAGAATCGTTTCTCAAAAGTTAAGGCGATTAGCACACTGCACCGCACTGTGAGGAAAAAATTAAGATTTAGTACTATGTTTTTGGAAATTTGGAATTCAAAAATTTTATCAATATTTACGTGGCATAAAATTCATACTTGTCACTCACTGATCGTATTCATAAAATCTACATTTTATGACTAATTATTTATTGTCTATCTATAATGCTCAATCAAGAAGAGAAATCGTCAAATCAAATCAAATCAAATCATTTTATTCGTCATCATGGGTACAATAAAGATAATAACATTTATTTTATGGTCGCCATGACGTACCATCAAGGCATACGAATTATACTATTATTATTAATTATAATTGTCCAATACTTCCAAATAATAATAATAAAATAACACTAATAATTATCATGAAATAGTCATAAACCACTGATTATAGGCTTCCACCTTCACAGGACTAAGTCTTAAAATCTACAACAGTTAGGACATCAAAACAAAAGTAATTTAATTAAGATAATAATCAATGTAAATAAATCAATGACTTACAGTCACGTTCGTCTCAATAATAAATTAATGTGAAATTAGTTAGCAAAATTCCTTTAATGTATAAAATGATTTTTCAATTAAATACTCAAATAATGTGCGTTTAAATTCAGCGAAATTTTCATTCTGCCTTACCTGTAATGGCAATTTATTGGTCAAGAGCAAGTCAAGTTTTACACTAAAGACTTAAATCCAAGTCTATGCCGCTTACGATAAGAACGGTCCAAAGTACAAAGTGTCAAGCTTGATGTGCTCTTGACTGTACAGTGGCCGTCCATAGGTGATATTAAGGAGTAACTCAAACGTTCTCGCAAATGCCTAGAGAACCGGTCAAATAGTCAGTCCCTGACAGCCAACGGGAGGGCTACGCATTAATTTTCAATGGAAAGTATGTAAAGTATTGGTTTCTTCTAGCAGAGGCACATTCGAAATGGATCGAAATTAAGCTCATGAACCGGACAACCACTACCAAACCGTGTGAAGAATTAGATTTCATACCATTACCATTACCGCATTACCTTCGGTTTCTCTCAATTCTTGGTTTCTGATAATGAACCCCAGATCACTTCTCAGGCCTTTCAAGAGTATTGTAGAGACAAAGATAGTACACATCATCCGTATCATCCCTGGAATAATGGCTTAGCTGGACGCCTGACCCCGCTTTCAAGTCCAGAATTTCGTTAAGTTCAAATGACCATCTCACCCTGAAAAGACGACTAGAAAATTTCCTATTTTCTTACCTTACTCTGCCACCGGCTCTTAGCGGCCATCTTGATGTTCGGACGTCAGCTGCATTGTATTCTCGATAACGCACACCCTAATCTAGAAAGACCCCGCAGTATAGATAGATACAAGCCAACGTAAATTCAAACAATCTAACGCCATGTTTTAAATCAGGGGACAACGCGTTTGTCCGCGTCTGGGATTAATCACGATGGGAAACTGATACCATATCATTGCTTACACATAGATCTTCGTATACACGCAGCCGGTGGGCTAGAAAGAAAATATTTTGCTGATCATGTATGTTCCCGGTTATCCGATCTTATCAATACAGTTTCAGCTATTGACGTCCACACCTAATCGACAGCCCGAGCCTTCTTACCTAACCGTCAATTTGTCAACTTACCAGAATACTCAAGACCCTCCTCATACAAGCACCAATGTGGTGGAACCCGTTGCAAGCTCATCGGGAACACAGAACTGAACTATCACCCAAATACAGGCATGCGTTGCTACTACGCATTCGCCACCTTCCACGGCTTGCTTACAAAGAGCGTCAAAGCGCAGTGGGCGCACTACTTTGAGTATAATTAATGTTTTAAGAGGAACCCGTTTCAATTCTTGTATTCTAAGATGACGACTGAAAAAATTAAGCTCCATAAATAAAAATTTACGAATGTTCATCCTAAATTTAAAACTTCTAATTTGGCAAACCTGCATAAACTTAGTGGAGCAATAATGGGGCGGTTAGTCATAGGTCAATGCGCTTAGTGGAAAAACTCGCTGGAAAGTCAGAAGTTCCAAACTAGATACCTTTTATAACATGTCGCCAACATCAGCATTCATCGTTCGACAGTCAGCATCCAACAATGCTCAAACGCATAGAATATTATTACTTCAAAGAGCTTAGACGTAAAGCAATAGGGAATCGGACATTTTTTCAGAAAGTGTCTAGAATTAACTAAAATAGATATGTACAGCCATGAAAAATAATATTTTATTAAAATAAAGCTTAATAGTCTCTAAAATGTGCTAAAACTACATTAAAATTTAAATAGAAACAAATTGGCGCGCAAACGTAACGAAATGTCAAATTGAACGCGTGACGTCATTTGTAGGTAAACAAGCTACGAAATCAAGGGCAAGGTGTTATTTTAAAGTTTTTGTGAAGTTTGAAGTCGTTATGGAACGGAAAACATATCGTTGGTGTGTAGTACCTCAATGTAGGAATACTTCTATAACTACCCCAAATAAACTATTTATTGATGTACCTCGAAAATCCGACATACGAAAAAAATGGTTGGTCCTAGCACGACGAAATTTCCGTAAATTCAGCGATATACTTTTGTGAGGATCACTTCGACGTAAGTACACTTTATGCAGTGAGTGATACATAGATCGAAGCATGTGTTAATAATTATATAGTAAATGTTGTGTTATATTCACTAGTGCCTTTAATTACGTAATGTAATAATTATGTATTCGAATTTTAGCTGCCGAATGATATGGAAAATTACATGCGATGGAAGGACTGTACATTACCATCGCACGATTTGAGAGGTGGGAAATTTAGTTTCTCATATAACACAGGAAGTGGAGACAGGGGGGAGGGTCTGGGGGTAGATTTTTCCCGCCAGGGGTTCGGAGGGAGGGGTTTACTCTTTGGTGCGAAAACATGATTTTTTGAGGTTATTTTTTTCGAATTTTCAAAAATTGATATAGGTATCGAAAACTATTAACGTCCTAACTTTGAAACTTTGCACGAAAGGTCCCCCTCCCCCCCCCCCCCCCAGCCCTCAAATCGATAGTAATACAGTCCTTCCATCGTATGTAATTTTCCATATCATTCGGCAGCTAAAATTCGAATACATAATTATTACATTACATAATTAAAGGCACTAGTGAATATAACACAACATTTACTATATAATTATTAACACATGCTTCGATCTATGTATCACTCACTGCATAAAGTGTACTTACGTCGAAGTGATCATCACAAAAGTATATCGCTGAATTTACAGACATTTCGTCGTGCTAGGACCAACCATTTTTTTCGTATGTCGGATTTTCGAGGTACATCAATAAATAGTTTATTTGGGGTAATTATAGAAGTATTCCTACATTGAGGTACTACACACCAACGATATGTTTTCCTTTCCATAACGACTTCAAACTTCACAAAAACTTTAAAATAACACCTTGCCTTTGATTTCGTAGCTTGTTTACCTACAAATGACGTCACGCGTTCAATTTGACATTTTGTTACGTTTGCGCGCCAATTTGTTTCTATTTAAATTTTAACGTAGTTTTAGCACATTTTAGAGACTATTAAGCTTTATTTTAATAAAATATTATTTTTCATGGCTGTACATATATATTTTAGTTAATTCTAGACACTTTCTGAAAAATTGTCCGATTCCCTATTATGTGTGCTACATACGCAAAGGCTCAAACATTCGTCAATAAGTCCAATAACTACAAAAAGCATCTTTAAAGGGGGCATTCATTATCCTGCATTGGACTGCAATGCCTATCCTTCCGCAACGTAATGAAGGATAATGAATGTAGTCGCAGCGTGTAAGCCATCCTGCAATTCTGTAATGCGTCCTGTGAGATTCCATACGTGGGCCATATGCAGGATAGTGTGTGAGCAATCTTCTGCCCGCGCGGCGGACTGCTATGCAGGTAGTGAATGGACAGTTTTATACACGATAATACAACATATCTTATTCGTATATTAAAAAATTAAAATGTCACGAAAATATCTTAGAGGATGAATAAAAATAAACGAAAGAAAATATTCATATTTCACAATCGATTATTCGACAACATCATTGACAATAACTAGACAGTTTTTTTTTAATGGGATATTTTTTGAGAACTGGCCTCACTCAATGTCATAAAAGGTCACCGGTGCCCGTACTTAGTACATTTTGTTTTCTCTGTACTGACTGATCAAATACTATTTTTCTATAGGTGAACTTTTGGAGATTAACCAATGGTGTTGGTGTATTTATTGAAGTATTTGTGCAAATAGTGTAGTGAAAACAATTAGACAAATTTTCCCCGTTTCCCGCTGAATTGGTTTGATTCACAATTCACATCTTGAAACCCTTACATGCATAAGTAACTAGTAATTACTTCATTTAAAACGAAAGTTATTTCTCCGTAAATACAAAAGTGAGTGTTACTTTAGTCCCCCACGCATAAAAATATTTGTTTTCACTACTTTATGATATATAATCATAATCTTTTTATCAGTTTAATCACAGTCACGAAGTCACACAATTTTCTTGAAATAAATGCTTTATACGGACATCTTTGGCAAATATATTACCGAAATCATAGATTTAATAACCTTTTATTATTAGAGGATGGAAAAAAATAGTCTTAAGTCTTTTGTTATGATGTAATTCAAAATTATTGCATCTTGTGTCAGTGTGTCTATTCCCAACTAATTAATCTGTCGTCGTTTAACAGGTAACCTTTGAAAATGGGTCGAAAGTTCGTGGTCGGTGGCAACTGGAAGATGAACGGTGATAAGAATCAAATCAATGAAATTATTAACAATCTGAAGAAGGGACCCCTTGACCCTAATGTTGAGGTAATTTGAAGGTCAAATGTCACTTACAAATTTATCAGAAAATAAGAAATATTTCAATCGCATGCATATCTATCTTTTTATATTTTTCTATATTTATTTCTTCTAATTAATGTTCTATTCACATAGAAAGTTAATACTCCATAGACTTCACATTTATGAAATATAAATTGGAAATGAAATGAAAATATAAATCTAATGTTTATCAGAATTTTTCTTCTATGTTAAGGTTGTAATCGGAGTCCCAGCTATCTACCTTGCTTATGTGAAGAGCATAGTTCCAGACAATATTGCTGTTTCTGCCCAGAACTGCTGGAAGGTGGCCAAGGGTGCTTTCACAGGTGAGGTGACAATATATTCAGTTCCGGTATCTAAAGTTCTATAAATAAGATTCCTCGGTTCTGTCTGTTTATCGAAACTCTTTTTGGTGCATGGATATACTTCTATAAAATCCTGGGCTGTAATTGTAAACACTAATTCTAATATTAACATAGTGTTTTTTAAATTTGGGTAATTTTTGTGTGCAGGTGAAATCTCTCCCGCCATGATTAAGGATGTTGGTGTAGACTGGGTCATCCTTGGCCACTCTGAGAGAAGAACTATTTTTGGAGAAAAAGATGACCTGGTCGCTGACAAGGTTTGTAGATTATATTGATATTGAACAGCTTATATAAGATACTGAATGTTTTATAAGTCTTATAACCAATTTTAGATTGGGTTTACTTGACAGGAGTATATAATAATATTGATAATAGTATATATAAAACTTAAACTTACTTAAAACTACTTGACTAGAATTGTCATTTATATATAACATATAATGTCAATTTACAAGATCTCATTTATTGTCAACCATTAATATTTTACAAGCAACAACTTGATTAAGTTGAAGTTGAGCGTCTGAACAAAATCCATGTAAAACAATGTCTAGATTCAATTGTCTTGTGAAATAGTAAGATCTACTTGGTACTACTTGGTACTTGGTGCAACGGGCTGGTGTCCGCAACTCGACGTCAAGGCGCCTATTTTGCGTGTGGTGGGTGCAGGGTCCTACTCGTGCCACCCAAGCTCCTCCAGGAATCTCAGCAGCCTCCTCGGCTTGCTGAAGACTTCGGGGAGCGACCTTGGCACTCCAAGGTACTTTGCCCTGTAGTTGGCCACGCCGGAGCACTGTAGTAGGATGTGCGCAGCCGTTTCCTCCCCCTCCATGCACGCTCTGCATAGAGGGCTGTCTGTGATACCTAAATTGAAAAGGTGTTTATTGTATGGACCATGACCCGTTAGGGCGGCAGTTAGAGTGCGAAGCTCTTGCCTTTTGAGTTTAATAAATATTCGAGACAGACTGGCATTGAGCGTTGGGAGTGCTTCCCTCGCATGTCTACAGACCGTAAGGGTCGTCCATGTATTATTATGTGATGATTTTGTACCTTTGTGTATGGTTGTTTTGAACAACAGACCTGTCCTACAGCGTCCGCCTCCGATCCTTTTCTGGCTAGTTCATCTGCTGCATCATTGCCGCGTGAGCCGCTGTGTCCTTTAATCCACTGTAGGGTTACGTGGTTTTGTATACATACCTCCATGAGTGCTTGATGGCATTCATAAATGAGCCCTGAGTTTATGTCATAGCTGTTCTGTGCTTGTAGTACTGACATACTGTCTGAGAGTATTCGAATGGAGTGGTTCTTAACTCTTCTCGCTATGATTGCTTCTGCCGCCAACTTGATGCCCATGCATTCAGCCTGGAATACTGTGTTGTGGTCACCAAGTGGTGTTGATATCCTGATATTGAGGTCTTCTGAGAATACCCCAGTACCTGTTCCTGAATTTGTTTTAGATCCATCAGTGAAGACGCGGACCTCTTTGGGGTTTAGTCCTTCGTTGGGTTCTTCAAACAATTGTATCTTGTATTTTTTGTCAAAGATGTATTGTTTTGGGATCCTATCCACAGCCGCCTCCAGTAGCGGTTCCTCATTGACAGTCTTATAGAGGATTTCTGTGTGTGGGGTCCTCATGTTCTTCCAAAGGCCGGCTCTATTTAGACGCACTGCTGTTGACGCCGCTTCCTGTCTGATGAACAGTGGGAGGGGTCGCAGGTCCAGCATCGCTTCGAGGGCCGCAGTTGGTGTTGTCCTCATGCAGCCGGTCGCCGTCGCCACGCAAGCAAGTCTTTGGAATTTGTCCAGCTTGTCGGTTGCGGTCGTCAGCTGGGTTCGTGGCCACCATACTGTAGCGCCGTAACTGATCATGGGTCTTATCACCGCTGTGTAGAGCCATAGTGTTATCTTGGGTGAAAGTCCCCATTGTTTACCCACCATTCTATGGCACTGCCAGAAGGTGATAGTGGCTTTTTGAATTTTGTTGTTCAGATGCTTGTTCCAAGTATATAGTAAGATATTTTTTAGTACATTATTGCCTTTGTGAATATATTTATGCATAATGCATTTATACTAAAAGTTCAATTGCATACAGGTAAAGCATGCTTTGGAATCCGGTTTGAAAGTGATTGCCTGCATTGGTGAAACTTTAGAGGAGCGAGAAGCTGGCAAGACTGAGGAGGTGGTATTCAGACAGACCCAGGCCCTCGTGCCTGCAATTGGCAGTAACTGGGGCAATGTTGTGCTTGCCTATGAACCTGTTTGGGCTATAGGTACTGGCAAAACAGCTAGTCCTCAGCAGGTATGTTATTGCAGAACAAATTCATCCACAAGAACCCAATATCTATAATTTTCCTTAGAATGAGCATAAATCTTTTTTTCAAAATCAAATACTTTATTTCAGATGTGCATATTATGTTCATTACAAAACTCTTATAGGCTGTCTTAGTAAGGAGATTGTCACATATTACATTAAATTATGTATTTAGCTTCTGGAACCTAAATGAACCCAATTCCAATGCTACATTTTGTAAGCAGGATACTCCAAATCAAGGATATGATGCTACTGGAGCTTTTGAGGGAGTTCTCTTGCGTATTATTGACATAAAGCTGTCAATATGCACCTCCGCGAAAATGCCTAATGCGTTGCGAAAGCTTGGTAGTCCCACAACATTCTAAAACTATTACTATGTTGTTGTCAGAGAGTGGAAGCATAAAATGTTTGTCAATATATCTCGAAAGAGTGGATTTGACATCCCCATCACAATGCATGAACCAGTGGGACAACTATTATAACGTACGGCCAATGCCCTTAACACTAGATAATTCATTTTATATATTAATACCCAGTGATGCCAGTCATCTCAATTTGGAGATAGAACTTACCTACTTATACGACTTTTTTTTTTAAAGGCACAAGATGTTCACGCATCTCTTCGTAACTGGCTATCTACTAACGTTTCTCCCGACGTAGCCGGCGCCGTTCGCATCCAATACGGCGGCTCTGTAACTGCTGCTAACGCCAAGGAACTCGCTGGCTGCCCCGACATCGATGGATTCCTCGTTGGTGGCGCTAGTCTCAAGCAAGAGTTTGTGGATATTGTCAATGCTACCAAATAAATTCTACACTCAAACATTCACATATTAAGCTTACAGCCTGGTGTCTTCACTTGGTTAGATAAATAGAATATATATATATATATATATATATATATATATACTTAGTGATATACAGATATAACAGATAATAGATACAAGAGACTTTGTAGCACAACGTTAGCATTGTTAACACCGTTCGAGTATATAACCAGAAATAGAGACGAAATGTCATTTAATTTGTTTGATAACTATTCTGCTATATCATTACTGTGACAACTGCGCTCCAATTGGCCAGCCCGAATTCGAAACAATTGACGGGTGTCGTCAATTGTTTCATTTCAAATCGACCAGTTAATTTGAGCTTTGCTATAATGGACGAAAATAGCAAAATTACATATTTAATTACCAATGAAATTTGATTCCGTTTGTTTTGTAATTAGATGTTTTGTTGTTCCCCACATCACCGAATGGAACAGCACGTCATTGTTAGAGATATTATCTTTATTACAATAAATACAGAATAAATTTTGGAATATACGGTGAGGTATACACAGGTCAGTTGTTAGCGCTGTACTATTTCAGCTTTCTAATTTGTAATTTCCAATTTCAATGCAAACGAGTTATTATTTATAAGGATTTATCACTGATGAGTTACCAGGAATGTATGGCCCTTATTTCCCCTTCGTACCGAGGGAATCGCTCTACTTTCGCGATCGGTCCACTTTCACTATTCGTCTACTTTCCCGATCGGTCCACTTGTTTTACCCGATTCCTCCATTTCCCATTTCGTCTACTTTCCCGATCGTTCCACTTGTGGAAAGTCTACTTTGCAAGTTAATAAAATTTTATGTAAGTTAATAAAATTTTGTGTAAGTTAATAAAATTTTATATAAGTTAATACAATTTACAAATTTTCAATGGCAGTTTGTAATTGCATAATTGCAGATTGTCATGGAGTACATTTTTTATATTTTTGATTATGATGGCCGCTTTACGTTGTTTGAAAAAGCAAAATCAAGTAGACAGTTTGTTTTTAACCGACTTCAAAAAAAGGAGGGAGTTCATAATTCGACTGTTTTTTTATGTATGCTACGCGATAACTCGACGGCATTTGAGAACCGATTTTGATGATTCTTTTTTGTTGGAAAAAGGGTACCTAAGTGGTGCATTTAAATTTGAAGAAAATATTCCATCTCTAAGGGTGGCAAACTAGATTCGTGCACTTTCCGGTAACCGATTTCAATAAAACTTGGCAAATAGATGTAATTCCACGAACTTTTGAGGTCGGTGATTTTAGTAATCTGTACTGAGATTATCTGAGTAAACACGTCATTATATATCTGGAAAGTAGACCGATCCGGAAAGTAGACGAAATGGGAAAATAGACGAAATGGGAAATAGACGAAACGGGAAAAACAAGTGGACCGATCGGAAAAGTAGACAATTGGTGAAAGTGGACCGATCGGGAAAGTAGACCAATTGTACCGAAGGGTTAATTTCGTCTCCATTTCTGGTTATATACTCGATGTTAACACCATTGTCCATTAAATTAGTTGTCAAATGCTTATCTACGCCATATAAAATACCGACCGTAAGCTCGTAACAAAAATGAATCCAGCATATTGAACCTTTTTATCTCATTTCCAAAACTACAAATTCTTGTATGTATATGAGATTATTTAAAAACTGTTAACTGTCGAGTTGTGACGTGGAAAATTTTACATTGTTGTAAAATTAATGCCATTTAGTTTTTGTAAGATTATAAGTGTGCAAATGAGATTCTTAGCATTTTTCTGATACTGTTATCTAATGTATCTCTAAGCTATGTAGTCCTTTATTTATTATGCGCAATTAATAGTTAATTAAAATCAAGATATAGAAAAGATGGAGAATTTTATGAAGTATACAAGTAATCTTTATTTTCAAATAAGTATAAACCATAATCATTATAAACTTCCTACTATATAATCAGTGTGTAGGTTTACTATATATGTATTTATTTATGCATGTTATTGTGAAGAGGTTTAATAAATAATTATGGTAACGGTTATCAAGTTATTTTATTAGAAATATAATAAACACTAAGAAAATACAAACTGACGAATCCTCAGATTACAAAACAATAGCAGATGGAGCATACGCAACGAACGATGTAAAGCCGCTTTTCATTTATTGTGTTCGTGACAACTAGGAAGGGCACTGTAGGGACACGCGTATTTGCGTGCGTATACTAAAATTACAAATTGGAACTCACCAGTTTGAAATTGCACCATCAAATACTTCTCTATTAAAACTTTTATTAAATTAACTTTCAATTCCATAGCATTGACGATCATCTTGTGATTTGACAAAAATTGTTTGGTTCCCAATGAAACTTTAGAACCTGTGAAGTTATGATGTACCTACATTACAATCATTTTTTTATTTCATAGACACGTTTTCTTTCAAAATCACTGTTTATGACACATGCACACAACAATGAAAGTTCTCTGTATCTACCTAATAAAAAAAAGTTACCTTACCTGTTTTTGAACATTTTCTTTTGTGTACATTACATGGTTATTAGAATTGGTTTGAGAATAATTTAGGTAAATCTGAATATCAAAACAATTTTGGACCGCAAATGGACTATCCTGTATATGCATGCATTATTGAATTTCTATATAAAAGTATAAATTAATCGATGCTCCTATCACCCATGCATATTTTTTGCCTAATTTAAGGAAACTCATCATTTTTCATCGATATAAACAGGCAAAACATACGAATTTATGTCGAGGTTTTGTGTTCCGATTGAATCTCAATAAATATCG